ACTTTCCGAGACGACGACCGATATTCAAGCTGCGTCGATCATAATGGCGAGCGAGAGATTTTCGACTTGTCAAGAATTAGCAATACGATGGATTGCGTACTTTTTTGTTACTCGAACGGGTTGTTCAAAACTTCACCTCACATCGAATCTCATTTATACCAGCCATTTTCTTCTCCTACTTTCAATGGCTGAGGAGTTCGAACGTTTTAAGCGTTTCGAATACAAGGAGAACAGTAACTTGGTCCTTCAGAGGGACCCGGGTGGAGGCAGTCATCTGGCTAATGAGCCTACTGGTACTATAGGGCATCTCTAGGTCCGCCTATGATAACACATTCAACTGATCGATCGGTATGAGTGACAACGTCTTAATTCTCGCGTATGGTAGGTGAGCCTGAGACTCTGCGATATCATAAAATGCACACTATGGGCGATAAAGTGTTGAAGACTAAGCCGAAGCCAGAGGCTGCTCTTGCTGCTAAGCGCCGGCATGTGTACGAACTACCTACGACTTAGTTTGGTTTAGTCTTGTCCAATATAGGAAAGCCGTGACCGAGGCCGGAGGGGACAAGGGCCTCCATAAACGTCGGAAGGGTATTGATATCACCAAGGGGGAGACAGTGCTCACAGTCGATGAGGCAGGGGATAATGTATACAGGTAGGAGGATAGCTGATGGTAGGGTAGAGAGGATGTTGGGCTTTACAGGCCAAAGTCTCGGGCATCAGAGAGGCCTTATGATGAGATGCTATCAGTCCTGTCTACAGTACTTGTTGGTGAGACTAGTACTGTCTTGAGGGAGGCGGCCCATGAGATACTCATGGCTTTGAAGTCTGATCAGAAGGACTCATCTAAACAGAAGAACGTTGAAGAGGTAGCAAGGCGAACGCTATATCGCTGGTAATGATACGTATCAGGTGCTTCCCCCGCGATCCTTGACCCCGGAGCTCTATACTCAGCTCTTAAGGCTCTCCCAACAAATCCATGATTTCGCAGTGGATGACGATGAAGAGGGGGTAGCTGAGGCGGGGGGGGAGGATGTTGATGCAGCTCTCCTGGCTGGTGCTGCGGCGGATGATCCGGCAGGTGTTGCTGTCACGTTTGACGAGGATGATGAGAATGATGGTAGTACTACCACTGGGGGGTTTATGATAGGTGATGCTGTGGTTTAGAGATGGGAGGTGATGATGATATGTTGTACGCTGACGAGGTGTCTGATGAATCTAGCAGCGACTCGGAGGACTCGGATGCGGA